GGACTAAGTCGTAAACTGCCCATATGTTGTTTCAGAGGATTCTTGCGATCCGATACGCTTATTGGTACCGTCAATGTGAAGCTGCAGCAGCTGGAAACCAAGTGTGATATACACGATACCTACGATGTGAGTGCAAAATAAAACCATGTAAATTATCAATTATAATTAAATCATTAATCCTTCATTTGCAGCTGATGGATGGTCGTAAGCAGGTCGGCGGCAAGCTGGAGATCAAGGTGCGTGTACGCAATCCCATATTGACCAAGCAAATGGAGCACATCGATGAGAAGTGGCTGGTGCTGGATGCCGAGGGCTGAACACACTGATGCCTGGACTCTCTTTTCATATATATATTTTTTTTGTACTTTATCGCAAAACAAAATTTGATGTGTTTATTGCTTAAGACATTGCGCTGAACGCTTTGGCCTCCCCGGGGTGGCACTTATGTATTAATGTGTTACATAAACATACACACGCACTCACACACACACACTTACTCACATACACACACACGTTATGTACTATATATATATATATATATTTGTATAAATATTTATGTATATGAGATAACTATATATGGAACAAGACGCAGCGCTGCTCTGAAGTTTTGTGCCCCATTATTTGATCAGTTCCATGCCAAAAGTTTGATAGAGTTGAAGAGTGGGAGATTTGGAGAGTGAGCAGCGCACGCTGCTTGTGGCCAAGCAAAGCCTGATTATGTTTCATCTAATATGCCCGATATGTTAATAAACCCATACAATTTATATAAATGTGTTTGATAAAGTTGTTGTGCTAAATTATAACTCCAGATATTCGACTATTTGTGAGAAGGCGCTGCTCTCATTGAACACATCCACGCCGCGCACCTTATAGAAACCTGGAAATATAAACAAGGAGGATGTCAATTTTAGCTGAAAGTAAACCCCAAAAATATTTTCCTTACCATTTACGCTGCCATTCAGGCCCGGCGCATACTGAAACGATGGATAGGGCAGATGCCAGCCCATGGAGATGTGCAGCCACTCGGAGCCGGCACGCTCTCTGAACCAAACCTCATAGCTCTTCAGGCATTGGGTGGAGCGTGATTGTTCGCTCCATCGGATGAATACCTCGCGCTGTGTTACCTCCACAATTTCCAGCTGCTGCGGCCGCTTCAGCTTGGGCCATGCCGCCGAACAGACGCGCAACAGCATCACCCACGGCAGCGGCAGGCTGGCCGAGTTGACAACCAGCTCGCTGTTGTACTGCCAAATGGGACCCGTCTCATATAGTCTGGGTGTCTGCGCCCGTCGCATGGCCTCGCGCACTGTGGCATTCGGATAGGCGGGACTGCCGGCCTGCTGCCACACATGCGCCGGGTCTGTGCTGTGCGGCACCAGCAGCTCCGTGATGAAGGCCGACTCATTCGCAATGGACATGTTCAGCGTGTATTTGTGATGATATGCGGTCAGTTGGGGTCCCGCCTGCTCGGGACTCAGGAATATGGTGGCCATATACTGTGCCACCCCATTGCCAGAGATGCTGCGCAATACCTGCACACTGTGCTTGCTGTCCATATTCACCAGCTCCAGATCAGCGGCTCGAGTGCCCAGCTTGGCCAACATGCCCAGCGCCGCGTAGACGGGCTTCTGCACGAACTGCGAGTGCGGCGGCTGCGTCTCGTTCATGCGAAAGTGCGCCAACAAGGTGCTGAAAGATTGCCGGTTCGGGATTGGGATATAATTATGATCTAGTTAGTATATTATGGCAAAAATAATTGTGCTTTAATTGTAAACAGTATCAAGAAATCTTAAAGTCTCCAAGTTGGATTTCAAAGCTATCTTCCTTTTCAGGAATTTGTATCCGTGTCCTCGAGTCGATTCATTTGGAATCTTTATGTCGGTTAGGAAACCAACTTTTACATCATATCAATCCCAGTGATTGGGCTGCGGCAATGACTACTTACCGCTGGCTAAACTCGTATGGATGATAGCTGAGAAAGGCGTTGTCATGGCTGATGGACTCCAGTTGGGCCATTGCGCCGCCAGCGAGCTTGGCCTGCCAGTGCTGCATCACGGTGGATATCAGGATGGCCGCATAGCGCACATCCGCCTGAAAGTCGCGCGGCGTGCTCCAGCCCGCAACGGGATCAGCCTCACTGCAACCAGGCGAAGAGCAAACGCCTTTAGTTATGTACAATAAGTGGATTGGAGCTATGCCTAGACTTACTCATTGGCCACTGGCAGCTGCTGCAGCTGGGGATAATCCTGGTAAATCTTGGTGAGCAGCGCCAGAGATCCATTAAGAATTTCTGTAGCGCTGCCATTCAGACCCTTGCGATGGTAGGTGAGTATATCGATGGGACACTTGGCTAGTTGCTGATTGCACAGCTCCAGCAGCTGCCAGCAGAAGGGATGATGCTGCTCGGACTTGAACAGGCCGGCGGGTCCACGCAGGGCACGATAAAGCTGCTGCTGGCGCTTGGACTTGCGCCTGCCGCCAGCCTTGCTCAGGCCTCGGCGCACAGCCTGCACATACTCCAGATATGATGCAGCCGTAAAATTGATACGATTGTAGCTGCGCAAATCCGGCTCGTTCCAGGTCTCATAGCGCCAGTTGGACAAGCGTGCGGGGCCATGGCGAGCTGCGCAGAAGATGAAGGCAAGGATATTACCCGGACAACTACTTAGGCAGCCTGGAATGGCTTACCCAGCTGATGATTGATGATGCTCTTGACAAAGTGCTCCCACAGGAACCAATTGCGTTCGGGATTGGCGGTGAACACATGACCTGGATTGGCCATAAATTCCAGCACCGGCGACAGCTGCTGCTCCTGCAGCATATCCACAAATCTGTCAAACTTCTCATAGTCATATTGGGGCACACCCTCCGTGCTGTACTCCAGAAACTGCACCAGCTCCAGCAGCCAATGGATGCGTATGTGTGTCACCGCGCCCGCGGGCAATGCTCCAATCTGGCGCAGTTGCAGCTGCATCTCGGGCGCCTCCAGAGCGCCGCTGATGCCGCCATGATTGATATCGCCGGCTGGACAGAAGCCCACGCCCGTCCAGAAATGGGGCAAGGCATGGTAGACCACATCGCCGCTGGTGTAGTGGGCGTGGCCAAGCTGTCGTGTGCCCAATGCCAACAGCAGCAGCAGCAGCAGCCACGGATGAAGCAGCCACATTTTTTTGCAAAATACAAATAAAAATTGTTAGAAAATAATCTCTTGATTTATTCTGTTTATGGTTTTATTTATTGCGCGTTGATTTGCTGATGATGTTGATAAGAGCTGCGCCCCAGTGCACGGTGTGTCTGTATCTGTTGCCGTTGGCCGTTGACCACGGCCTTGTCTCGTGACGTCACAGCCAGCAGCAGCAGCAGAGCACCAGCAGAGCAGCAGCAGCAGCAGAGGCAACAGCTAAGCAACAGCGTGCCAGTTTCACACAATCTCCCCCAAAAATAAAATAAAAAAAACAACAACAAGAAGAATGACTTTTTTCGGCACACCGAAGATTAAATACCCTTAGAAATCAGCCAGCAAAACGGGTTTGAACCAAACCGAAATGGCAGCAACATAGTTTTATATCGAACCGGTTTGAGTCGGAAATTGCAGTACATTTTATTTATTAAGAAGGAAACTTTTAAACCAACCAGTTCTCCGTACCGAAACCGAAAAGGAAAGAAGAAAAAGTGAAGCTGGTAACTCAGCAGCTGAGTTTGGCCCAGATCTTTTGAAGTACGGAAAAGTTACTATACAAAAACTCATTTTTCAACTGATTCTTCCAATTTCGCGAGTGGCCTGATATTAATAAGATTTGATTCATAAGAGAGGAGCATGGTAAAACTCGTAATGAATCATCTCGCGCTCCCATCCGGCTTTGCATATAACGTGACAAAATGATAATACCCTCTGGAAGGGTATACAATATAAAAGTGCCGGCGCGCCGCATTGATTGAGAATTGCAATCCCTCATTAGGGGTGGAAAAATGGCGAGCCCCGAGTCCGGGGCGGGTCGGGCACGAGGCGAGAGGCGAGAGGCATCTACATCGGATCTCAGCTCTCAAATGGGGGAGCGAAAGGTGACAAATATAAAATATTTTATGCTTGCGGGTGATAATACAGCAGCAATTACACGGCCATATTCGAGGGGTAGTTATTAGATACAGGTAAAAAGATATTTAACGATTATTAGTAGGCTTTGCTCGCATTTCATATTTAATCGTTTAATGCTCTAAGCTATAAAATTGATTCGTTTTTAATTAACTCAAAGTCTTTACTAGGCCTATCGATTTTGCAGCTTAGCCTCTTAAATTCTTGATTTGGCCTTTGGGACAGATTTATTAATTAAATTAATTTAAAGAAGAATTTGTTTAATGAATTTATTTAAAGACGAATTTCCTAAATGAATTTATTTAAATTTATTCATTCAAAGAATAATTTGGTATTTAAAATATTCAAATATATTTCTCAACATATTTTGAAATAAACGAATAATTGTTGTATTTCAGGATGATTTCTTATAAGAAAAGCTTGCATATATTTTGCAAATTTTTACTTTAATTTCCTTTCAGGTTTTCAAGAATTTCTTTGTACTTGGGAATATTCCTTATATTTCAATTTTAGAATTTTATATAATAACATTTTTTATTTCAATTTATTGCGGACATCAAAAACCCTAAATTAATCTCCTTTGAGAAGAATTTGAAATATTCTCCTTACTTAATTGTTGAATTTCAAGATTATTTCCTAAAAGAAAAGATAATCTTCAAATATTCAAAGATAATCATCACATTTGTTTTTTTTTCAGGTTTTCAGGAATTTCTTGTTATTATCCTTGACTTGGGAAAATTTCTTATATATCAATTTTAGAATTTTAGATAATTTTTTATTTCAATTTATTGCGGATATCGCAATTTATGATGGACAAAAGCGAGTGAGATTTTGATTCTTAGGATCCATAGAATATCAAAACTAACCCGATTTACATGTGAAATATCTTAATGCCTTTTGGCAAGTTCTCAAAATTGATTTACCTTTCATTTGGCAAGAAGCAATACCTTTTCCAGGCGGTTCGTCCAAACAACTCTATCGATTTGTAAGGTATTTAGAAAGTTGTCGGGTTGGAGAATTAATTTGAATAATCGCCGACAATTCGTATTAATGGAATCATTAGCTGGTAATGCGAGTTCCAAAATGTTGCGCACTTTATGAATGGATATATTCAGAGATACACCTGGAAGCTCTACTCAATTCAAGTCGGAGCTCTGGTTGAACGCTCTCCCATGGCTATGAAAATCCTGCGTGATTTGGAGGGCGTGGCCAGGCCCACACAGCTGTGTGCTCTGCTGCCCTTTTTCAGCGGCAATCAGTCGGAGAGCTTTGGCATCAGTTCCCGGGGCAAGCTATATGGACGCATTTTGGCTCTGCTGCTGCTCGTGTCGTCGGTGTTATTCTGCGAGGATGTGCTGTTCGCCTCGCAGGATTACAAGCTGATGGCGCATTCGCAGGGCGACACCGAGGACATAAATCGCACCATTGAGACGCTCTTCTGCATCGCCAGCTATACGATAATTGTCATCTCGAGTGTCCTGAATGGAGCCAAGCATTTTCGCACAATACGTGATCTCTCCCAGCTGGATGGGTATCTGGAGGCGCACGGCTATGCGGCGAGCTATAGCTGCCGATTTCTGGGCACACTGCTGGTGCTGGCCTCGGCGAGCGTTGTCCTGGTCGCCTTCTACTATATACACTTCCTGAGCGAGATCGACGCGCGGCGTCAGTGCATCCTCATCCTGATCTACAGCCTGCAGATGCTCTACTCCTGCATGTTTGCGCTCTACCTGCGCACCATACTCATGGGTCTGGCGCTGCGGATCGAGTTCCTCAATGGACGGCTTGATCTGTTCACGCAGAAGGATAGACAGCTCTACGACAAGGACGACTGGTGTGAGCTGAGCAACCTGATCGAGATACTCTGCAAGTTTCGCTACATTACGGAGAACATGAATTCGGTAACTGGTGTCGCGCTGCTCTTCTTCTTTGGCTTCTCCTTCTACACGGTCACCAACCAGAGCTACTTGGCCTTCTCCACGCTGACCACGCCCGACCAACTGCGCAAGGAGGGGCACGACACGATGGGCCTCTCCTGCGCCTGGGTGCTGGCCGAGACCGCAATCATGGGCGTCATTTGCAGCTCCTTCGATTGCCTGGCCTCTGAGGTGAGTGCGAGTGCATCTATATTCCTATGAATATACGGTATCTACCTTTGAATAAATACATTCGGGATTGCACTTACATGTGCATTTATGAGTGTACTCAAAAATGCATAGGCAATATGGCTGTATTCGCAAATCTACTCCTTATACTACATTTGAGTACATTCATTATTATGTTCAAAAATATGATGAATACTTTGACAAGTCTCTTCACTAATATTTTCATGAGAGCATTCGTGAGTGTATTCAAAATAACCTTAGCAACATGGGTATATCACAAGTCTATGAATATGAATGGATGTACCTTTGAATAAATACATACGATCGGAAGTGCACTTACAGGTACATTAATGAGTATACGGGTGTATTCACGAATCCCTTCCATTTTTGAGTACATTCATTATTATGTTCAGAAATATGAGTACTTTGACACGTTCATACGTCTGTTCATTTAATATTTTCCTGAGTGCATTCGTGAGTGTATTCAAAATTTGTTTAGCAACATGCGTAATATACGCACAAGACTATTCCTGATTATATATTTGAGTATATTTCTTAAGAGTATATCAAGAGTATATTCATTTGCGAAAAAAACTTTAGTTATATATGATTATATTCGGATAAAGAGTTTTTCACAAAAGATCTTTTAAAGTCGACTAAATATAATATTACAAAAATGTAAGTTTTTAAAAAAATTTCAAAAATTAGTGCGAAATTGGGGGTATGGAGATGATTTTTTATTAAATATTATTTTGATAATAAAAATCTTTGTTTTTAAACCGGTTTGAGCCCAACATTTCAGTTTAGTTTTTCCTAGTAATCAAAAAAATAAGCAAACCGAAACTCGGGCTATACACTTTGTAAATAAATACAATTTTCTTTAAAATCAATAACTTTTGAGAAAGACAAAGGCCAAAAGTACGAATAATCATAGCTCCAATAATTGGCTTTATCTAACAATATTTGATAGATGCCAATTTTGGGTAGAGACCAAATCTAGCCCGCATCTTGTTTATGAAAATATTTAATGCTTGCAATATTTTCAGTACAAAGGGCAGTTGTAAATTAAATTAAATTAAATAATTAAAATTAAAACCTGGATTCAAGGATGTGGAGAGGCAGCTTCACAAACCAAATCCAAAGGCAAAGACAAATATTATTTTGGGTCTGCTCCCAGTTGATATTTATGAGTGTATATTCATCAAGTATTCGTGAGTGTGAGAATTACATAAATTGTTGCATAAATTATAAACTCGCATGAATAAGTGAGTGCACTCACAATTATTTACGAGTGCCAGCGAGCGTGAAAAATCATACGCTCCGCAAATAATTGCCCACTTCTCATTTTTTTCAATGCCACACGCCGGCAAACAAATTAATTATTGTAATGGACGACGGATTGGCGATAAGGGCCCAAATCAGATAAGCGCGAGTGCGTTTCAATCGGTGTTCCACCTGACCAAAGCACGCACCTAGTTAGCCAAATCCTTGTCGCCAGTGTCCTCTAGGCAATGAGTCCCAACAGTTGGGTAATTGAAATGGCAGCGCAGAAGTCGCGTCTCTCGGTGCATCCGCAACAGCGACGCCTTTCGCCACATCCGCATCTGCTGGGCAACGATGCATTCGTGCGTCCGGCTGAGGCGCCGGTCGAGAATCCCGTTTTCGAGGATATCGGCGCCATATTGTCGGTGCTGAAGGCGAGCGGCCTGTTGCCCATTTACGAGCAGGTGTCCAGCTTTGAGGTGGGTCCGCCCACCAGGACCAACGAGTTCTATTCGTTTTTTGTGCGCGGCGTCGTCCATGCGCTGACCATATTCAATATCTACAGCCTGATGACGCCCAACGGGGCCAAGCTGTTCATCTCGCTGCGCGAGACGGACAATGTGAATCAGTGGATCGAGCTGCTCCTCTGCATTCTCACCTATACGCTGAGTGAGTCAAGATCCCGCGGAACTGATCGAGATTCTGATTTCATATTCTTAATTTCGCAGCTGTTTTCGTTTGTGCCCGCAACACGAAATGCATTATCCAAATCATGAACGATATCCTCAAGCTGGACCAGGAGGTGCTGCGTCAGTTTGGCGTTGCGCTAAGCAACAACTGCAATTTCTCAATCAAATTTCTGCTATTGATTGCCGCCTGTCAGGCGTATATTATCTTCATACGCATTCATGTGCTCGATGGTGAAATCACGCCCACCACCTACATCCTGATCGGGTTCTATGCGGTGCAGAATGGCCTGACGGCCACCTATATTGTGTTTGCCTCGGCCCTGTTGCGCATCGTGTGCATACGCTTTCAGTTTGTCAATGGGCTACTTAATGGGTATTCGTATGCCCAGCAGCTGGGCAAGAGTCGTCGCCAGCGGCAGTCGCACATGGAAAGCTTTCCCGAGGATTCGCTATTCATTTATCGGACACACAATCGTTTGTTGCGCATCTACAAGAGCATCAACGAATGCTGCAGCCTGATAATTGTGTGCTTTCTCGGCTACTCCTTCTACACGGTGACCACCAATTGGTATAATCTATTTGTGCAGATCACCAACAACAGGGGCGTCATCTCGTCCCACATAATGCAATGGTGCCTCGCCTGGTTGTGCTTGCACACCTCCCTATTGACCCTCTTGTCGCGTAGTTGTGGTGCCACCACCTACGAGGTGGGTCTCCGTGGACTGACATGGACTCTACTAATTAGGTGAACCATCTATTTGCAGGCCAATACCACATCACAGATACTGGCGCGAGTCTATGGCAAGAGCAAGGAGTTTCAAAATATTGTAAGCTCTGTATCTTAAACATGCTATATGGAAGTGGAGTATATATGTATATTCTACTTCGACTGCACAAATCAGAATATAAACACTTCCATATACAGTATTTCATTGTTCTTATATATAACCCCGGAATCTAACTACTTCCAACAGATTGACAAATTTCTGACCAAGAGCATTAAGCAGGAGGTACAATTCACGGCATATGGTTTCTTTGCAATAGACAACTCGACGCTTTTTAAGGTTATCTAAGCACAACAATTATTATCTTAATCGAAAATTGCATTAATTATTTCTCAGATCTTTTCAGCTGTCACCACGTATTTGGTCATTTTGATACAATTTAAACAGCTCGAGGATTCGAAACTGGAGGAACAATTACAGGAAACGCACTAAATATAAATTTATATATATACTGTTTAAATTTATTAGCTATATTTATTACCATTACAAATCTTACGCAAATTGAACTAGCTGCATATATTAATTTATAAATATATACTCGTTAGTTCGACAAATCAAGCGCACAAAACTTTCAAATACATGAACAAAAAAAATGCATTATTTGAACTCTTCATAAATTTAAAACAATTAAGAAACCGACGCCAAAAAAAAATTAACCACTCTAAGTTTTAATACAAATTGCAGCATTCAAGTGGCGAGAAAAGATATAATAGGTTACAACTTATAAATTTATGATTGATATTAATCAAAAGTAGTGGGCAAAGTTATTCAAAATATACTCATATTTTTTATGGGGCTATATAGGGTACGCTTAGAATGCTGCTGTCTTAGTCGTGTGGTTAAATTCCTACCAGTATTAACAGTTCAGGACTTTGGACTTGCGACGCGTTTCCCCAAACAGGAATGAACAGATGCGATCCAGTGCAAAGGCACCAACAATATCCACTATGAGTACAAGCAGCAATGTTTGACGGAACTGCAAAAAACAAGTTACGAATCAAATAATGATATACATAAGGAGTAATAACTAAGACTACGCACATTTGCTGGAAAGTCGACGATTTCGAAGAATTGCGTCAGGCCGGGCACAACGCCTGTGGTGAGGAACAGCACCAAGGCAGCCGAGGCGCCAATGGCACACATTAGCATGCGATTGGCGCGCAGGCTTTCCATAAAAGGATGGCCCTGAAACACAAACGTTTAATTAGTATATAGCAACCATTTAGCATGTCGGCTAAATACCTTATAGTTCACTGCAATGGTGGCCACCTGCAGCGAGACGCAAATGATATAGACCGTGCTGCTGACAATATTTGGATCATATTTCGTTTTTTCCTCATTATCCATGTCAATATACAGCTTCACCTTGCCCACTCTGCAAAAAGAAACAAAACAACCATTAGCCTTAGGATGAGAGAATAATTATTTTTAAAATGTCGAATATTTTAAACGCAGGGAGACATCCGATATGATTCAATATTAAGGTACACGATGTTGCTTTTATAAAACATCTCGATACAGCCGAAAAGCGAATATATAGATATATTTTCCCGATGTTGAATAGATTTTGAACATTGTATGTAAGAAACATAAAGCTAGTTCTTTGAGAGTTTGGTCAAGACAGATTCGGAATCAAAAGGTATGACCAATAGCTCCTATGGGAGCTATAATATATGGTTCTGGAATGCTGATATAAATTAACGCATATATTATGATAATATCTCAGCAGCACAGTAAAGCTCGTAACTGGCAAGAAAAGATATTAAATATTAAATAACTAATTGATTGTGCCCGTGGAGACTTTATGAAATAGTACGGGCGTTGTGGCTCTCGTAATTGATAAGTTTAAGACATATCTTGAATAATTGAAAGGAATTTTAAACAACAAATTATAATGATATTTTCTGGCGTATATATATAGCAGCCCAATGCATAGATAGAATTAGGCAAAAATTCAAGATATTGACAGGCTCGTTAGCATAGAATCAGACGAGCATGACATGGATCAATTTGGCTTGTGATACTGATCGAGCATATATATATATACTTTAAATACATACTTCTACATCCATTTTTTTTTATCACGGATGTGCCTTATTTACCTGGGTGGCGCCAGCGCCGTTGCTTCACTGGTCAGATAATAGAGTGTGCCAAAGTGTACCGCGAATTGTGTGAGAATTGTCGATATGGTATACAAATTGAATATGTTGGGCAGTGGAGCCACCTTTGATAGAGTTTTCAGTGGCTGCAAAAAGATAATCACAAGAATATTATTAAACTTAACTAAGTAGATTATGCCAAATGCGCCCAGCTCACCTTGGAGCGTGTGATGAACAGAAAGCAAGCCGCTATGAAAATGCCCTGCATGGTGGCCTGGGTATCGCTGAACTTGACGCCATCAATATAGAGCACGGACTGGCAGTAGGCCTGAATAAGTGCGTTTAATGCCAGAATCTTGAACATTTGCAGCGTGGTGACTAGCGTGCAGCGACCCTGCTTGACGATGTGGTTCACTGAAAAGAGGTAGTGTTAAGCATTAGCTCTTTTTTAGAGTAATAGAAATTATATACTTACCACACATAATCGACGATAATTTGCTGGTAAATGGCGCCGCTATGGATGCATCGCCCAGCTTAACCATTGTTTGATCCTCCATGTCGCGCAGAGCGCTCTGTAGACGCGCCTGCGTCCGATCGATATGCTCTTGGCGTCGCCGCAAAGCGCGCTCACGCGGCGACAGCTGCTGATTGGCCGCTGCTGCCGCAGCAGCTGCTGTTGCAGCTGCATTTATTTGTCGCAGTTCGTCTTCGGTACGATTGCGTTTCACGGGTGCGCTGGTCAGCAAGGAGACGCCGACATGGGCGTGCTTGAGGGCGCCCACATCGTTGGTGCCGTCGCCGCACATCAGCGTGTAGTAGCCGAGCTGCTTGAGCGTCGTTATGATATACTCCTTCTGTTTGGGCGCAAAGCGGGCACAGACTGTCACCTGGGGCAGCACCTTGAGCATGTACTGATGGTGCGCTTGCTGCATATACTGTAATCCCTCGCCGGTGATGCACAAATCGTTGGCGGACAGGAGCATTGAAATGTTCTTGCTGCTCTTGGAATCGTCCAGGGGATAGGTGCGATCGCCATCAATGGACACCCAGCTCCATTCGCCGTCGCGTTCGTTTTGTGGTGGCGTTAGTATGACTAGTTTCTTGTTCGTAAAGCGCAGCTCCCGGGCCACATGACAAGCTGTCAGCGGACTGTCGCCCGTAATCATAAGCACCTTATGCGACGATTGGACAAGCTCTTTTATGACAGCCTTCGAGTCCGGTTTCATGGGACACGAGATTATCACAAAACCGGCAAAAATCAATTCACACTCCACATCCTCACGTTTCACCTCACGTATGGACTGCCCACTCAGATTACCAAATTCCTTGATGCCCAGCGCCATGACGCGTGCACCGCGACGAGCGTATTCCAAATAAATCTACAAATACAAGACATAGCTTTGAATAAGAGTTTACTCTATTTTGCTGCACCTATACCCCCACTCACCTTCTCGTAATTGCCGGGAACGTCCTTAAGCATGCCCATTATAACCTCCGGAGCACCCTTAACAGCGCCAATGTATTTGATTTCGTTAGAGAAGGGCACCAGATAGCCGGCCAGGACAGACATGCGTTTTAGTGCCGATGAGAAATGATAGCGTTGAACAATTCGAAGCGGCTTGAGCTTGCCACGCTTGGGTATCACACTGTCCGATTTTGTGAGGTTCCAGTCGACGGCAGCGAGTGCAGCCTTTTCCAGCGGATCACCCACCATGCCGTCATCGAGTACCGCCAGCGAGTGACAACAGGCGAGCACCTGTATTGTGTTGTCCTCGGCCTCATCGATGGGCACACATTTGCCATTTGGCGACAGGCCTGCAATGCCCTCCACCATTAGATTATCCGTGGTCAGGGTGCCCGTCTTATCAAAGCAACAAATCTGCACTTTGCCCGCAAACGGAATGCGAAATGGTTCCGTGCAAAATACATATAATTTGGTTAACTGAATTAGCGACGTATTCACGGCCAGCGTCAGCTCAATGGGCAGATCCGGCGGTATAATCGAGGTCAATATGAGCGCACACTCCAGAAACAGTTTATAGCGATTGCGTTCCGGATCCTCGCTGCCCTTGACCCACACATATGAAGCGGCCGCAACCGCAAATACCATGAGAAAGGCAATAAATGCAAAAGTCTCAGCATTATTCTCCGTGGCACGATTCGCGCCAAAGAGTATGGTGCGCAGCAGTTTGCCCTGGGAGGTGTTGAAGCCAGTGCGTATGACATAGCCAATGCAGCCGCCGTCTGGAGCACGCATCGATTCCTTGCTGGGCGCGGTATGCTGCACCACCTTGGTGCCACCAAATAGCACTGTCAGCTTGCCCTCGCCCTCGGCATCCAGTTCGGTATTGAGCTGTTGCAGCGATTCGAGAGATTCCTTCATTTGTGGCACCGATTCACCCGTTAACATACTCTCGTCCACAATGCAGGTGCCGCGCAATACGACCACATCGCAAGGCACAATGTTATCGTTCTGGGATCGTGTTATGGACACCAGATCACCAGGCAGCAGCTCATCGCTGCCGATTTGACGCCATTTGTTCTGGCGCAGGGCATATATGAAATACGGTTTATTGCCCATTTTACGTATCTCGGACATGTTGCGCAGTTGCTGCTTAACAATTGTGCACTCGAAGGCGATCAACATGAAGAGCGTGAATAGCGAATAATACCAGAAATCGTCCATGCACCACAGACCCACTGAGAATACTTGGAATACAAAAAACGGCGCTGTGGCGCGCTCTATGAACAGCTCATGGAATTCGGGCACAACCATGTCCATTTCATTGTTGCCATAGGTCTGCATAGCTGTCTTAATTGACTGCTCCGTCTCCAGGCCACGGGAGCTGGCATACGTACTCAACAGTTTGTTCACAGGAAACTCAACCGCACGGAATATCGCTTTATCCGGATCCCACACGTATTTGGTCTTCTGGAATACCAGATAGTATTGCTGCTGGCCATCCTCCAGCTTAAGGCTGCGTATGGGCACTATCTTGGAGTTGCCATTGTTCGCTGTGGGTACTACTTTGGCCAGAACGCCCGGCGCCGGCTGCTTGACGCGCCGGCAGGTGAGAAATGCCAGTACATGTACGCTCCAGTAGCAAAAGAGCAGTGTGAGCACATGAAGAAATGCAATGGCCACCACAGCTATGAAGCCGATATCATTCCACGCGGCATTCGCTGCATTGTCGAGTGGCTGCACTTCATTCGTGTTTGTTGCAGCTGCTGCCGTTTCCTGCACAGCCTCGATGTCGTGGCTTTTGTACACGTAGATCCATAGATAAAATGCGGTCAGATAGAGGGGGACAAAGGGCAATACCACGCCACTTAGCGGCGTCGGTTTGCGCACGTGTAATGTCACATATTTTACGAGATCGTCCAGCGCGGCTGGCGGCAGTTTAGTGTAATTTTTTTTATTGTTTTTGTTATTGTTGTCGCCGGCAGCGCCGCCCGTTGTGGCCGATACGCTCATCAGTGCCGGTTTCTTGCAGTCTTTACCTTTCTCGTTGCTTTCGTGTGAGCGTCGTGTTTTCACTCACAACTCTTATTACTTAAAGTTTGTACAAAAAATTAATTGTGAAAAAACGCAACGTTGTCGCACAGCTGCTTGCGTCGCAGTGTGTGCAATCAAAAAATTATATATATATAGATATTTACTCGTTTGTGCACACTGTTAATTTTATAAGCTATCGTCTCGTCACGACTTTATCGATATTGAAACATAGCTCCAGCAGCCCTGGAAGACAACTCTGCTTTGTGCAGACAATATACAACAACTTCTCTCATAAGTCTGCGGGGCTATTTATTATTGTGCTATTTATTAACACTAATTTAAGTTTTTTTCATCTAAAATTTTTGTCAAACGAACAAGTAGAATGTAAAAATGCTGAAGTACATCAAAAGGCAGACGAGTAAGTGATAAAAAGCACGCAGTTTTTGATAAAAAAACAACTGACTGTTTGTGTTTATGTTTTGGTGTCAATTTCTATTTTTCGACGCGCACAAAACAGGCCGCCGACGCAGCTCTAACGAAACGGATGCCAGCAGCGTTGATGATGTGGTAGATTGTGCGGCAGCGGCGCAAAAACGTCATTCGTTGCGCTCTACAACAAGTTTCTGTGATGAGGTCTTCATGGAGGAGGAGACGGAGGCGGCGGCAGTGGCAACTTCGGATGCAATCAGCTTGGGCAACAACAGTTTGCTAAATGTGGGCGCAGCTGCTGATGAAGGTAATGAAGCAAATGTCAGTCACAGTATTTGTATGCATGTGTATGTGTGTGTGATTGTTGTTGATTTTGCTTTTGCTGTGGTCATTTCCGGAACTGCACAATACTCATAAATTGCGCGTTTAATTGACTTGTCACGTTTTGACGCTCTTTACAGACATATTCAAATACAGCTCGCGTCTCTCCATGACGCTAACGGCAATCGTTAGCGAGCCGGATTGTCTGAGCTACTTTTTGCAGTATTTGGAGACCCAAAACGCGCTGCCGCTCATCAAATTCTATTTGGACATAGAAAACTTTAAACGCGCGGCATTAACACAGCTGCACCAGGAGCGGCCACAGGATGCAACGGTTGCGGATACTGCTACATTGGAGGCACCGCAGCTTACGCCTGTTGTCGGCGCATCCATTGCGGAGGAGGAAAACGATGTACCTGAAATGAAAACACTGTGCGATTTGTCCATGCGCAAGCCGCTTACCGATGACGAAAAGAGTCGCATCTATGCGGAGACAAACAAACAGATCAACCATAAGCCAGCAGCTGCGCCGATGGGTCGACCCAAAGCCAGCTCGGAGCTACAGCCGATAAGTGCGGCAAGCATCAACGATGCGATTGCCATTTACCAAAAGTATTTGATTGTTAATGCGCCGCTGTTAGTGGAGCTACCCATTGTCATCTTGGCGCACATATCGCTGTTTTTGTGTGGCAAGGATAGTGACAAATCGACACAACAGCCCGTACCTGCCGGCTGTTTCGACGAGGCGCGCGACTATGTGCTGCAGCAGCTGGAGCGTGATCATTTGCAGGGCTTCCTGCAGAGCAGTTACTACTGCACATATTGCCTGGAGCTGATCGAGGGCGATGCGGCGACACTGAACATCTATGACGTGCTGTACGATGAGCTGGCGCTGTTCTATCTGACCGAGTACCTGGAGCAGCAGCAGGAGCGCGAGTGCCTAGAATTCTGGATAACAGCGATTAACTTTCGCAAGAGCTACGATGATCAACGTGCCGCTCAGTCCGATGCCATGATCATATACGAGCGCTATTTCTCGCTACAGTCCGAGTGTCGTCTGTGGATGTCACAGAAGTTGCGTCTGCGCGTCGAGCAGGCCATCTGTGCGCCCGGTCAGCTGGCACAGGCCTTCGATCTGGCGCTGCTGGTCACAGCCAAATACTTGGAACAAAAGCACTTTGCCAACTTTCTCAAATCGAACATATTCGACAACTATGTCAACGAGCTGAAGGCCAAGACGTGCACACATACGCCGTCGGACACCATAGATAGCTCGAGTCTGCAGCACAAGCTGAGTCTGCGGCGCGCACCCAAATTGTCTGCACAGCAGCGACATCGCAAAACGATGTCCATGTCCGACTGTACGCACATCTCGCAGCACAATACACTATTGGCTGGCCTGGATACGGGTCATAAGCCGGTCAAAGCGTCGACAACAACAACGGCGGCCAACATGAACATCGATGCCAGGCAGCTGACAAATCCGCAGCTGCTCTGGCAGCGTCCAGTGAGTGCGCTCAAATTTGGGCACGTGAACTCGCTGGGCAGATACGAGCGGGACTTTGAGGCCGTAGATGCCGTTTCGAACCACAAAGCTCCAGCCTGGTCGCTGAGCGTTAAGAATGCAATGCGCAAATTGGTAAATCTGCCCGAAGATAATGTGCAGGAGGAGATTGCCTGGCAGGTGGCCGAGATGATTGTTAAGGATGTGACCAGCGTGACGCTGCAGAACAAACATTGATGGAACAAGCACAGCTAACGCAATATTTATTTAGTTTATATACACAAAGGAAACAAATTTATTTATAATTTGGCGCTCAAATATTTGAGGAATCTCGCATTGACAGTGTTGCAAATGCATCTATTTTGAGAGATCGCCAGCCACTTTTTTTGAAGCGGCTGTTGACAACACTGATCAACAAGTGCACAAATCGAACGAAAGCTCTCTTAAATGCAACAATGTTCTCTCCCTCTCTTAAACGCTTGCTCTCTCTCTTTAGCTACTACCACACTACACTCTCTTTAAAGACTACTGAACAAAAAGCAGAAGTTTAATTATTTGTAAAACTTAAGTTATTCATGAACTTTAAAAGCTTTGAAAGCTATCTAAAACGAAACTTTCTCTTGCTCACTCGCTCATTTGTTATGTAAAGCACACACACACACACATACACACACGCAAGTTTCCTTGATTTCGTACCTACAGAAAATATTTTATTGACATTACAAAAACTAAGCATATTTGTTGCAGGACTAACTGTATGAAAAACTATTTAAACTTGTAATTTCATTCCGCTTGGTTTGCTTAATTTTATGTAGTATACAATATTTATGCATATACATAAATATGTTTGCATACTGAAACACTATATAACAAAATAATTGTTACAAATAAACTTTTTTCTATAGAAATTTCAATATTTTTTTAATGGTTTTATTATACAGACAAGAAATAAATATATTTTGATTAATGGACGTGTAAGATTGAGCTAGGAGATTCCAGAAATGAGGTAGAATGAAAGTTCTGTGAAAACTCTGGATTCATAGAAGGCAATGGGAAGATAATAGAAAGTTTCTAGGCTTTAAGGATTCAAAAGTTCAAAAGGATTAAGTTGAAGGAAACCGCACGCGTTTCTTGAATTTTCTCAGTATATCAAGGAGTACTGATAGCTCATTATCTATCTCAAGAGCTTAATTATAATTGTATAAAACTAAAGCATAAGACTAACAACCTCTGTTGTTTCTACTCAGAGGTATTCACGACACTTAAATTCGCAACAGCTGAAGCCTTAGTATTGAAGATCGTCCTCTGGCAGGTTGCCCGTTTCGCTGAACCAGCGCAGGATGCGCAGCATGGTCTTGGCGGAGTACAAACAGAATGGATACTCATTGTAACAGCGATCGGTGCGTCCGCGCAGCGCCAGACCACGACTGAAGGCGCGTCCAATTTTGGCTGGCGCCAGTTCCAGTGAGGATTCCATGAAATTCATCAGCAGCTCGGCCTCTGCCGAATTCGCCTCCGCGCCAGACATTAGCTGACAGATGAGCGACTGCAAGCACTCGAAGGGATCGCGGGCAAGTATGCGCTTCCAGTCAATGGACGCGGCTTGATGCACTGCACCCGCATCCTGCCTGCCATGCACCCAGCTCAGTTCGCGACTCAATGTGGCACGTTTGCCACGTTGCAAAGTCAGCGCCGAGCTGGTCTGTCCGATGAAACTGGTCACCCGTTGCAGATTCAGTGCGGAGCTGGCCTGTCCTGCCAGGTTCGTAATACCCTGTATGGGTCGTATGCGATTCCAGTCCTGTGCCAACAGATGCATCATATACATGGCGCCCAGGCCCATAACGGCCAAAAGTACAACACTGAAAAACGAAGAGCGAAAAGTATTATGCATATAGCTGGCGAGGATTTCGAAAGGCTGCCCACATACCGGACTCCCATTTGCAGTTGCTCAGTTTGAACGCGTCCGTTTAGCTTCGTGGCCAGCGCTTTAATGCGCAGCCTTGTGGCGCGATTTCATGGTTAAAGCCGCGACTATCTCCAGTTTGGCCAGCCAGGCTAGGCTCGCTAGCCACTTTGTTTTGGCCACATTTAAACCAGCCCACAAGCGCACAGCTTTCCGCAGTTGGAATCATGCAGCCATGACATAATCGCCAGCGACTTCGACATCCAATCCAGATGCAGGCGCCAGTTTGATTTGCCCGCCAAACGGGTTCGTGTGGTTTTTCTTTTGCTATTTTCTTTATTTTGTTTTTCCTTTTTCGGTGGGCATGCAACTAGTTTTCCTGCGCCACTTGGTTGGCATTGTTTTTGGCCAAGTTTTGGCTTTTCATTTATCCGTTTGTTATTTGTTATTATTGTTTGCGCCAGTTTCAATGTTGCGGTCAAATAAATTGAACTTTGTGCAAGACACTGACCATGGCAGTGGGTCACGTAGCCAACGGCTGAGGAAAATGCTCGGGAAAAGCCTGCGGCATCCGTTCGGAAAAGCCGCCAAGGTTTCAAAGTTTCCGAGCTTTCTGCAATGTCATGATGCTCGATCAACTTCAAGGCAATCAAGTACTCCATGGCGAATTAAGGAAATCGAAACTGATTTCCAAACTAAAAGTGAGAGCTAGAAAAGCATCCGTTAAATATTTAACAATAACAAAAATCGATTAAAGGCGCCCGAGCAGGGACTCGCTGTTAAACTTTTGAATATTATAATGAAAAGATTTACGAAAAGAAAATAAATAAGCAGTCAAGTTTTTCCTAAAATAGATTATAGGAATAACTGTGAAATCAAAAGAATATTAAAAAGAAATTTAAGCTTATAGCAAAGGTAAAATGAAAAGATATTCAAAAGAAAAATGAAAAGAAAAATCAAATGCTTTTTGAAAAGAAAATTAACAGTCGAGTTTTTATCAATAAATAATACCGAGCAAGAACTCCCGATTCTCTTTAAATATTAAGTGAAATACAAAAATGTTTCGCAAAGAAATTAATAGAAGATCAGATATTGCAATACAATTAAGAGATCTAAGTATTCAAAAAATATATACAGCAGATATATGGATGTGAACTGTTTATCTAAGAAAATATAAAGATAGTCCAAAACTGGGTCACTTGCAGCCAAAAGCTGTCCAAATTTAAGCTTATGGATCATATAAAATAAAAAATATGCACTCGATTATGCATTAGCTTTAAGCTGTGTGCAGAAATCATAATGATAAACTTTTCAAGCAAATCAAATCCAGCTGAAAAGAAAGCTTTTCCAGGCGCCTATAAAATGACGTTGCGCCCAAGCGGCGGCTTCAGTCGAAAAACTGTTTGGGAAAACTGCAAGAGGAAAACGCAACGGCAACATTCACTGCAACAACCGCTTCGCTGGCAAATTGTGGATTACGCAACGGCTCAAAGGAAAGTGAAAGCCAAAAGTGACCATAACGGATGTTGCATCACAGTTTGCCACTCTGTGCAGCATCCACTGAAATCAAGACGAAATGTTTTACGCCGTGATCTTCTTTGCAACAATTGTGCTGCTCTTCCTGATGAGCGGCACAAGGAAGCCGGACAAGTTTCCGCCTGGTAGGTATAAGCCAAAAAGGGGAAGCAGGGAAGCCCTTTTTGGAGAAGTATAAAACTATTCGTGCTATTGGCTAACGGCTAACGGAGAATATTATGATTTTCTAACAATATATTTCCTCTTCCATTATTATTACCAATTAGGTCCACGCTGGTATCCGATTGTGGGCAGCGCCCTGCAGATCTCGCAGCTGCGCATGCGCCTGGGCATGTTCTGCAAGGTGATCGATGAGCTGGCCAGACGTTATGTGAATCCCTATGGCTATTATGGCCTGAAGATTGGCAAGGATAAAGTGGTGATAGCCTATACGAATGAGGCTATCAGCGAGATGATGACCAACGAGGACATTGATGGCCGTCCGGACGGCATCTTCTATCGCTTGCGCACTTTTAACTCCCGTCTGGGCGTGCTGCTGACCGATGGCGAAATGTGGGTGGAGCAGCGTCGCTTCATATTGCGCCACCTCAAAAACTTTGGATTCGCGCGCAGCGGCATGGTGGATATCGTGCACAATGAGGCCAGCTGCCTGCTGCAGGATCTGCGCGCACGGGTCACGGCGTCTGGCGGCAAGCAGGCGCGGATTGAGATGCACGATCTGACAAGTGTCTATGTGCTGAACACACTGTGGTGCATGTTGAGCGGTCGACGCTATGAGCCGGGCTCCCCGGAAATAACCGAGCTGCTGGAGACGTTCTTTGAGCTGTTCAAGAACATCGACATGGTGGGTGCACTCTTCAGTCACTTTCCGCTGCTGCGTTTTATAGCGCCCGATTATTCCGGCTACAATGGCTTTGTGGAAAGCCATCGGGCGCTCTTTACGTTCATGGGCAAGGAAATTGAGCTGCATCGCAGCACGTATCGTAATTATGATGAGCCGCGTGATCTGATGGACAGCTATTTGAGGGCCCAGGAGAACAGCGACAGTCCCATGTTCAGCGATGAGAGCTTGTTGGCCATATGCCTGGATATGTTTCTCGCCGGCTCCGAGACGACCAACAAAAGTCTGGGCTTCTGTTTCATGCATCTTGTTCGACAGCCGGAAATACAGGAGCGCGCCTTTGCCGAAATCAAGGAGGTGGTGGGCCTGGAGCGCATACCCGAGTGGTCCGATCGTGCCAAGCTGCCCTATTGCGAGGCCATCACCATGGAGGCGGTGCGCATGTTTATGCTGCACACCTTTGGCATACCGCATCGCGCCATGTGCGACACGCGCCTGTCTGGCTACGAGATACCCAAGGATACCATGGTAATTGCCTGCTTCCGCGGCATGCTCATTAATGCTGTCGACTTTCCGGAGCCAGAGACATTCGATCCGACACGCTATCTGATCGATGGCCAAATCAAATTGCCAGAGGCCTTCAATCCGTTTGGCTTTGGGCGACATCGTTGCATGGGCGACTTGTTAGGGCGCCAGAATCTGTTCATGTTTACCACAACGCTGTTGCAGCACTTCAAGCTGGTAGCCATTCCCGGCCAGATGCCAGAGGAGGTGCCGCTGGAGGGCGCTACGGCGGCGGTCAAGCCATACGATGCAATGCTGGTGCCCAGATTGTCCTAAGGATTCCAAAACAAATGCAACTTTTATCAGAAGACATCGAAAAAATCAGAGAAACATGTGGAAATGCAACATTGCCTACGTAACAAAGCCGTTATTTAATTGTTAAAAGTTTTTATCGATATACTATCGCAATATATGTTCAGTCAAGCTATCGAAGTATCAGTTGAAAGTTATCGAAGTAATTACTGATAAAGTAAATAATTGCGCTTGGTATGCTGTTTGAGTACGCATACTTGGCTTGATGATAAGGAACATGGAAGAACGAACTTCGAATTATCCCCTAATCCCATTTTTTGTTGAATTATTCAATTCGAATTGAACACAATGTTTTCTACATTCTCTAGTTATGTTTTTAATTTCTCATATAACTATAATTATTATTGTTCATTGTTGTTGGGTTTGTTAAATAGTCTACAAAGTTGTCATTTAGTTAATTTGTTTTTGATTCACATTGATACACATTGATTCATTAATGTTCAATTTCATTTCATGTTGGCCTCTGATATTTCACACGTTCTTCAGCAAACAACAAAAGCATTTCAATTGTGCATACAAATTACAAAATTAAATTTAAGCACTAAAAGTACGATACAAATACGAATACAAATACAAATATATGAAAAACGATTTATCAGCTAAGCGTACAAATATTGCCACAGATTGAATGTTCAATATGTATTTAGAATGCGCATTCAACAATATTTCTTGTTCTCTATTTTCTTTTTTTTCCCTCTTTTTTTTCATTGTTATTGTTATTTAAAGCTATTTGTTTACATGCATAGGTTTTGTGATTTATGCTTGGAAAACATTTTGTTGCTCGAAATCTTTCGATCTGCATTTTGCTCTGGTAAATATATTTACATATATTTTGTTGTTGTTATTTTTCGCTTTGTTTTGCGGTTTTAAAAATTTGAAATTTGTTTATGTGTTGAAATTCTCACTCTTCAGCCTGCTGCTAGACACTGGGCTTACATGATCTTGTTATATGTATATATATATAGATGTATATAGATGTATATATATATATATATATATATACATATATTTATATATATATGTCTATGTTTGGGGTGTGTAAAAACGCTAACAATTGTCACACAAAAAGCAAAGCCAGCGCCATCGATTCATAACTTATTTGCATATTTTAAGCATTTCTATAAAGTAACATTAACTTTTCATATATCTAAGCCATTAGATGATTTTAATATTGTTGCACACACGCCGACACTTTAACGATCTTGGTCCATGATTCCAACGCGCGAGAGGAAGAGTACGTATTATAAATATATATATATATATATATAAAAACTATGGGGTTCGCTTGAGTTTGAATTTCAGGTGAAATAAATAAAGTGAGTTCAAGCCGCAGCGCAGGCAGGTTTTAGCTGCCAGGGCCACAGAGCTCTTGGGGGATATGTTCAGTTCTAGGATTATAGTTAAGTGTTAGGGACTAGGAGACTAGCAAAGCATTCAAAATTTGTGCAACAGCAAACTTGAGACAAATACAAATACAATATTCATAACCACATTCACTATGAACCAAAAAAATAAACACATATACAACTAATGAAATTCCCTAAAAATGTTGCAGCAGTTTTAGAAATCGTTGACATCGTCATCTCCTATATCTAGTGCTTCCGCCAAACGAACGTCGGCAGCTGCTGGGCACAGCAGCAGGCCACAATATAGAGTATCCCAAAGAAGAAGTTCAGCTTGGCCGTTTGCCTGGGCACCACATGCATTGTCTGCTCGTTGCGGAACCTCTTTTCGATTTGAAACGCCTGTGGGAGCGTTATTAACGGCAGCAGGAACCACAGCGAGTACTTTAGCCCAAAGATGAAGAACAGTGAGTAGGGTGTAAAGAGCAGCATGGCATATAGCACATGGGAGGCAGTCCGTCCGATGAGTATGGCTAGCGTTACGATGCCCGCCTTGCCGTCGCTTTCCGCATCGCGCGTATTATTGCTATGCAGTATTGCCTCCGTGTTGAGGGCCAGCGGTATGGCATAGCCCATCGTTGTCCAGTCGACGTGACCCGTTTGCGACATGAACGCAAATAGCACCGAAATGGGCCCAAACAATATCAAGATTACCAGATCGCCCAGGGCAATGTATTTGAAACCAATGCCGCCAGTATATAGAAAGCTCGACGATAGTCCGCCAAAGTAAATCAGCGCCAAATGTTCCATTTTAGCTGGACTAAGCACGGCGAGCAGCACAAAGCCGCCGCAGCCGGCCATGTACAGAATAGCGCCCAGCGAAACCACCTAAAAATAAATAAAATCAATTAAAAACAGCTTGCTAAATAAATATATACAAAAATTTACATATATATAAACAATTTAAACACATTGGGTTTTTGGAATAAGCTACTGCAAATCGGGCCGAACGTAAATTTTAAATGTTGTTTAATCTCTGAACCAAGCCAGGCTCTAATGATATTTATTTTTAAAAAACGGACAGAATTTTTAAATAAATTATTTGCTTTAACAATAGTGGTATTTTATATATATTCAATTATTTTTCTAAATTAGGTGTAATCCCAAGAAAGCTTGGACTCCCAATTTTACATTTCTCTAACCATATTTGGTGGTTGCCATTTTTGGATAGTAATCAAATCTAGCGCGCAAATTCCATATATATAATTCACATAAATAATTAGACAGACAATTTCAGTCATAAAGGTTTATTGCTAGCATTTGAAAGAATGTGCTAAAAGATATATTATATATCATAAAATGCAATGACAAACTCAGTGGGAATTTTTTCATTTCAAATTGGAAAAATGTGACGAACCAATGCTCGAATAACATCCTGGGTTCTCGAAAGAACCGGGCTTTCAAGTTTCGAATAAAACTAGCCAAAATGTTTTCTTTTTTTTTTTTAGTTGAAATTGTGAGCAACTAATTAGATTAAGTTTTATGAGTGCTTACCTCATCCTTGGTGAGTATGTGATCGACCAGAGTACGATCGTCAGCCTTTTGTTTATCGATGCCTTTGATGAAATCGAAATAAGTGTTGACCACATTGCCGGCACAGTGCACGGTGACCACAGTGAAGGCGGTGAGAAAAAATGTGAGCATGGAAAAGTCGGCCGACCATTGCGAGCGGTAGGCGAGCGCGGAGCCGAGCAGCGTCGGCACCAGGCTGGCTGACAGTGACCAAGGACGCAAGGCCAGCAAATAGGTTTTCAGTTTCATAAACGTGCCGGAGCTGTAATCGTTGGTGTTAATTACTGAAGCTGTTTTGCCGTTTGACGTCGCAGACGCCAACGACTCGTGACCGGTGCCGCCATTTACCAAACGCTGCCTGAGCAGCTGGGCTGTTGACGTCATGGCCGTTGCCGTTGCCGTTGCCGCCGCCTTTTCCTGCGCTGAAGCTTCCTGCTGCTCGTATTCGCTCCGACTTGTTGCCATTGCAAGCGCTGTGTTCAACTGGCAACTGGGATCTTTGCATTCACCAGCTGAGGCCCAAGTTCGTTGGAAAAATTTGCTCTTGCTGACCTCGAATAGTTATGCGGGCGCTCTTTCTTTTGTTTACAAAAGCATCAATATTCCTGCAGTGTGTTCACTATTCGGGCTAATATTGTATATACAGCATCATGTGTGTGCTTGTGTAGTATATATGCTTGAGGCAGGGGGTGGCGCTGGCTGAGGCAGCTCCAACAACAAAATTTCACCAACAGCCTGCGTGCTCCAAATCCCAATTGCTCGTTACACTCTCGCCGCTGCCCTTATTTTGCCTCCAGCTGCGCCGCGCCAAACAAGTTGCATGTATGCAACGCTCACGTTTTTTGATATAAAAATATATACAAATAAATTTCACTTGTTCTTTTTATTTATTTTGCAAGCAATATCAGATTGCTAGCGAGAGAAGAGAGAGCCTAATCAAACAAACCAACTGTCACGTCAGCGCTGCACAGTTCGGCCACACTGCTCAAATTAGTGCATTTAAATTTAAATATTTTGCAACACTAATACTGCACAGTATGCAGCACGTTATTTCTACCCGCTAGCCTGTTTTGCTTGCATGCCTTGATAGCACTACAGATTTAATTAGGTAATGGAACTTAAAATAAACTATTTAACAGTATATCGAACTAATTTTATCGCTTATCAATTTTTGTATGTGTTGATTGGTATATCCCATTTCGATTGACTCTTGCGCTATAGGCATGTTACTCAAAAACGGTTTGCTTACATTTTACCTATCAGCGTACTTTGCGAGCCAGCCCTGAACGTTGACCAACAGCTGTTGCATTGCTCAAAATGTTTACATACAAATAATACACAAACGCTAAAAACATGGACTTTAATGTGCACAAGATATGTCGGGTGTGTCTAGAGGAAGGCGCGCCAAGTCCACTTACTTCCATTTATAGCACTGACTTTGCCATGATGCCCTCCCAAATGTTAATGATGTGCTCAAAGATTCGGGTAAGTTTCGACCACTTGACTACCTTCAATTAATTCACAAATGGCATTTTCAGGTCTATAAGACCGATGGATTACCTGCCGGCATTTGCAATAACTGCCTCTATAGGCTGGGAGTAGCCTATCACTTTCAGCAGGAGTGCGAAAACAGCGATATGCGTTTGCGTCAATACTTGGGCTTGCACGAGTCCTGGCGCCATGATGCCGCCACAAATACCGAGTTTGCGGCCAACAAAATCAAGCCCCTGCCTCCAAATATTCAGCTCAACTCTAGCGATGAAGAGGAGAGCCAAACTGACGTTAAGCGTAGCAAGCGTCGCTCGCGCTACCAGCGCAAACCTCCCGAAAGCCACAAGAAACGCGGACCCAAGCCAGTGCCCAAGCTGCCGCACACATGCTATGTGGCCACATGCCACAAGAGCTTCAAGTGTGCCGCCCAACTCACTCAGCATATAAGGACGCACACCGGCGAAAAGCCATATGCGTGCAGCTATTGTGCACAGCGCTTTGCCCAGAAGTACAATCTGAAAGTACACGAGAGAACGCACACCGGCAATAAGCCGTTTCAGTGCGAGATCTGTTCCAAGCAGTTCTCAGCGCTGGGCAACTTTCAGGCGCATCAGAAGATTCATAGCGGCGTACGAGATCAGATCTGTTCGCTCTGCCAGAAGGCATTCTACACGGCTGGCGATCTATCCAAGCACATGATCACGCACACGGGCATCAAAAATCATCATTGTGATGTTTGCGGCAAGTCTTTTAGTCGACGTCGCGATATGCGCGTACACAAACTAAAGCTGCATCCACTCGAATCCAGTACGGAGCATGAAATTGTCGATGACGACGATGATGAGCCCATTGACACGGATCCGGTGGGTCTCGATACCCTAGAGCATGCGCACTTTAAGTGTCCCGACTGTGATAAGGCCTACGATACAGCTGATAGCTTAAGTCTGCATTTTCGTACCCACGCGGCGAATAATAATATATTGAACTTGCCACTGCCACCGCCGGCACCGCCACCTATGTCGCATCACTATCATCACCATCATCCAGGTGCAGCGCCACCATCCACAGCAGCTATGCATCATCACGATGCCCTGCAGCTGCACCATTTGGCGCCGCCAAACGCAGCTACCCAAATGGGCATGGCGGCAATGGCACATATGCTGGCACCACCACCACCGCCACCACCCACGCCCAGCGACGGTCGCTACACCATGCTGCATCACACGGCGGCGCAACGTCTGCACTACTAGAAATTAAAGTACATAGTTAATAAATATGTATAGTATAAGACCAATGTCCCGAAATAGCTAACTTATTAAAGAAAACATCTTCAACCAAATACATTTGTATATATGCCCTTAAAAATTACCATAGAGTCAGTTTGATCAGATAGCTATGACAATAGTTATACGCAAATGCGTTAGAAATTTTGGTTTCTGTTCTCTTTTGTTTCTATTACGTTAAAGAAATTTTAAACTATTTTTTTAATATTATGAACACTTTTATTTAAGCATTACATATGCATATATGTATATATAAAATGGAATTGTTTTTGTCATATTTGCTTTGTATTCGTTTTGTACAATAAATATAAAAAATTTGGCAAGCACAGCTTCTATAAGATCATTGCTTAAATGCACAACTAAAATCACTTAAAATGTCATTATACACATACATTTAACCGTAGTTATACTGTATGCTGATGTCTGCTCTACAATTCTTTGTATAAATAATGTTTGTCTTGAGTATAGAAAAATTGTCATAATTCATATATTGGTTTGTTTGGTATGTATCGTTATCGTTGGTATTATGCTTCGGCTCCATATAAAATATATATGTATGAGAAACTACTTGTTAAATATTGCTTTATATACGACTGCCATTTTTGACTACTCTGACTCTACTTTAGCTTAGCCCTTAGCCATTCCTCGGTTAACTCGTCCAGTTCGCGTATCTCATAGACGCGTGTCAAATCCACCTCCCGCTGCAGTGCGCTCTTTGTGCAGGCGTACATCATCTGCAGCTCTATCTGACTGTCGCGCGGTGTATAGAATATGAAGCACATTGGATATGAGACGCGTTGATCGTCGTGCACCATTTTGTATGTGTAGATAACATAGCGTGGCTGATGGCCGGGCAGTGAGTCTTGCAGCTCCTCGACCGATATATCATCAATAAACTCATCAAGCACCACCGATTGCTTCTCCCTGTCCACTTTTACTAGATATACCAAGGGTTGGTAGGAAAGGAGGAAAGATAAAAAGCCATCAATCAACGCTCGATTTGCTTTAGACACGCACGCCATGCCTTGGGGCCTCTATGACCACATTGTTACCATGGCGATGCGTACATAGATCAAAATTTATAAATTGCCCACTTACATATTAGCGCCGAGTTGGTCTTGCTTTTGCGAAAGCGAAACTTTTTTAGTTCTTCAAGCACTTCATTGCTTATGTCGCATATTTTGTTATCACCCTGCAATGCAGCGAAAGAAATTAGTAAATGTATCAAAAATCACCTTCTTTATCGTCTCATAAACAAAAACGCAAACACAAAAACAAAAAGCGACCCGCCCACATCTCGACTGGCCGCACTTAGCAAAACTATTAGTCATAGCTCGGCGAAGGATGCATTGCATATTAACAAACAGAATCTTACCATGAAGATCGGACTGCACTTGGCTTTTATTGTTGAAAGGGATTGGTTTTTTTGGGAATAAAAGAAGGCCGCGGACAATACAAACAATAAAACTATGGCCGTGTAGCTCCTTTGCTTTTACTCAACACTAACAGCTAAACATACAGATGTGGGCACCCCAAAACGTTTACATTAACTAAAATGTTATTAACAGCGCGCACTAATTTGCTTCTCGCAAAACTGGTATTTTTTCAGTTTTACCAATACTTTAATATGTTTGGCTGATGCAGGTTGGTATAAAACTACACAGCTGTCAAGTTGATATACTGCAAAGGTGTAACATACTTGACCTTTTTTGGGAAGTGTCTAATTAACGGTAACAGACGCCTAACCAGCCAGCTGTTGTTTAACATTAGCTATCACCTATAATATCGAATATACATTAAGTTATTAACGACATGGCGCGCAAAAAGAGATGATGAGAATGATTTTCTTTCTTTTTAAAATAATATATAATAAGAAATATCTTATATCAATAATTCAATTATTTACAGTTATTTGAACATAAAAAACTATCAACGTTATCAACATCAACGCGTTTTATTGTTCGGTTATCGATCATTTTTGCGAAGTGTTGCAAATCGCTCAGCTTTTAGCGCCAAAAAGCAGCCAGGATGCTAAAATTTACCGTTTGTTGTTCCTCGAAAATTAGAATTAAATGCAAAAACACAATTTGGAAGCACTATGCCGTTAGAACGAATGAATTTAAGCGTAAATGAGGATATCAACCTGTTAAAGCCTTGCTGGATAGCTGGCGACAGAAAATATTCAACTTCGCAATTTGTTAAGGTGTTTGCGCGTCATGAAATCAACGCCATTGACGTTGCTGCCAGCTGGTAAGTGTTTATGTAGTTGTTCCTCTGGCTACTATAATCTGAAATTGATAATATTTTGTATTGCTAGTGATCAAATAAGGGACATGATTGACTACAATCAGGCAAAGACAGGAGGAACTGACAATGCACTCGACACATGTAGCCGTAGAGTTTCTATATTTAAGGACCTAACACGCCTCACGTTCGGCGTAAGCTACATTCTGAGCCAACAGGTGTCCACGCTGCTGGGTAACTTTATAAACAAACAATTTGCTATTGCATGTTCATGATTATTGTTGTTGCACAGATGATACTAAACATTTGCTGGATCAAGTCATGGGCAACAACTTGGAAATACCATGTCAGGCGGAGCCACTACGTCAAACGCAGACACACGGTTGTCGTAAGCGGAAGCGAATCATCGCTACAAAAACGACTACGATGTGTTTGGCCAAGCGCGCTAGAATTTCTGATCCTCAGTTGTTGGACGAGCAAAAAATAGACTACTATAGGCACATGTTATCTGAATCGCAGCTGTGGAACACAGAAACTGAAAATCTAGAGATTGAGGAGGTCTGTCAAGTACCAGTGCATAATTTGCAGCATAGCATTTAATCTGTATACTTTGTCGTCTAGTCTCGAACCATTGAAGTGGCACGCACGTGCTCAGCAAAGCATATGATTAGCGTCACACATGAACTGACTATGACTGAGCTCGGCCAGGACATAATGTGGAACGATGGCTTTGGTGAATCAAATCAAGTGGATGTTACTGCTCTTGACGAGTTTCTTCCATTTAGAAATTCCTGTATGACAATCTTTTACGCTATATGTTTCATATAATTTACACTTATTTGTTTTTTTTAGTAAAGCGCAAATCGACTGATTTAATGCCAACTGGTATTCTGTGCTACAAAATGCCCAGATTAGCAACAAGCTCGGATGTGCCGAATACTAACGATAATCCGCAAGCACTCGATCTACATCAAGAGATTGAGCCCCTTGCATTGCCGCCGGTACCGCCGCTACCACCACCAATTGTTGCTCCGAAGCCTAAGCCAAAATTAAAGCGCAAGTGCAAATTGGTAGATAAATGCATTAAGTTAACGCGCGAGGTGCTCTTACGCGATAGGGAACTTCTATATAACAAACTGGAAAGTGCAAAACATGTTAAACCTCAGATTATGAAGTATGGTAATAATAGTAAAACATTGCTGAACAGCTTTAGGCAAGAGTAAGAATTCGCAGTTTTTTTAACTCTTCTTTTTTAATAACAATACTTTTGCCTGGTGCAGTCATCTTTTTCCAGAACGTTTAAAAAGAGATTTACAGCTGAGCAGCGAACGACTCGAGTTGGACTGTGAATATACCTTACGCACTATATTCGGTGCTGATTATAGTGATAATCTGGTCGGTGAGATCTTGTCGGCAATCCCAGTAATGCCTCAACGGACAATCCCCTTAGAAGAGGCTCCTATGCCAGTGCTAGAGCCAGCTGAGAACCCATCACCTCATGTACTTGAGCTGCATCAATGCAGCAATAGCAATAATAACAACATATACGAGCACATAAAAAGTTATGAGGAAAAGAATTGTGGTATGTAAACTTGTAATTTGAGTTGTATTTGTTAACTCATGTCTGACTTATTTTCAACAAAGATTCATTGAGCATAATGATGGATTTGCTCAACATATGGCGCAATGATCCCGACAGAAAATCTATTGATGCCAACAAGTTTGTAAAGTCCTTTCCGGATCGCATTAAAGCGGCTTTGGCTTTTAGCCATTTGTTAGGTAAGACTGGATTTATATTAAAGTATGATAAAAACTCAACATATTTAACAATAAAATGATCTTAACAGCTCTTTCACGTGATGGCTTTTTAAAGCTCTCCACAAAGCCGGAATCTGTTGAAATTGATGCCATTACGTTGGGTGAAGAATCTATCAGACTTATCGAAAATGTTTCGAGCTTTGAACAGCTAAATTAATTGAAACTCATTTCTTCGGGCGAAGCATCTATTTCGAGCTTCGGGCAGTTCAATTAATTACTACTCTATTGCTTATATATTTTGTTTTTCTTAATTTTTTTTTTATAAAAACTCGTTCCTTGTTATCGTTATCATAACTATAATTCATTAACATTTTTGTAATTCTCTAAATCGTTCTTTGTTATCTTTTGTCTTAAACTTCTGTACTTAATCCCAGGACAACCAAAATATATGAAACAAAATTATTGAAATTAAATACCAATTTGCTGGGCCAAACCCGCATAAATATGCAGCGAACTGAAGCCGATGATGGCGGCCACCAGCGCCTTAACCGCAATCGCTGACCAGGGTCCAATGCTCAGTATATGCAACAGTCCTTCCAGCCAGACGCCTTTGAAAATGGTGACTGCCAGCAAAATGGAGACTAGTGGTTTTAATGCCTTGTTGAGATCATGTCGCGTAAACAGCCAAATCAGCGTGGCAGTGGTCAGGTGCTGTACGAGCAGGACATTGGACTCCAGGCATTTCTGGATGTAGATCCAGCTGAACTCGGTGCCGCGGGCGCCCACCCACAGCATAATGCCACGGGAGAGTATTACCTCCGCGGTAGCCCCTAAAATATATGAAGGTATTTGTAATGCATGTTTTATCATTCATGTGGACCACTTACAACCCAGCCCAGCGGTAATAAGTTTGGAATGGCCCTTGCCAGGTATGCGGCTTAGAATTAGCGCGAACCCAAGTAGATCTGCCACATCCACGCTGCAGCGCAGAATCTCCTATATTTAGATTCGTTTAATTAGATTTGACCCAATTTTTAGATTTGTCCAACCACTTACCGCAAAGAAATTGAACTCCCCGCTATTTGACGCTGAATCCGAGTAGAAGAATGTGGCTAAAACGAGCATTTTACAGAGCTGTGTGAATATGTAAATACAACCCGCTTGCACGCATTTCCAGAATGCGCCATACTCTGACCTGAAAAGATAAAAAATGTTTATTGATTAACACGATTTATTGGTTGCCCCAATATAGCATCTAGTACTTACAGGCCCGAGTATTTGTATGTAAAGTAATATGGCAAAAGAAGCGCAACACAGTTTCCAAAGTGATAGAGCGTCATTTTCTCTTATAAACCACGACTTTTTCTGTTAATTAAGTTGAAACATTAATTTATTGTACAATTGGCACACGAGACATCAATGAAAAAAAACACTAGGCAGAGGAAGAACGGCGAGAGTAGCAGCAGCTGTCAAATATTGCCGGTGGCGCTGTCAACTTGTGTGAATTTGGTAATTAAATACCAACAGAGCGAAAATATTAAATACTTTTTTAATAAAAAAAAAAAGCTGAATAATAATAAAAGTAAGATTTCGTATATATATAAAATATTTTGTAAGAAAACTCGAAGGTTTGAGTTTATTAATTAAAACATGTTTGTTTTTTAGCTCACATGTTAATTTAATTTGTTCAGTTTTAGTATTAATTTGTCCTACAACTTTTAATTGCGTTGGCAGCTCGAAGCACCAGCAACACGTCATCTGTCATCTGGGAAAGCTTGGCTGTGTGTGTGTGTATGAGTTTTTTTTAGGACAAAATATCCAGCAACTCTTGATTAAATCGCCAAATTCCACAGAATATGTTCTTAAGAAATTTATAAAAATATATTCAGCGTAAACACAAAATTCGGCCAAAAGCGACAGCACGTAAAACTGAATCGCCTGTAGATTGCAAAACAACAATTTTCGCCAATAGTTTCGCAAGTCAATACACGACAAAAACAACAGTAAAAGCACACAACGCAGTGCATGACGAATGCAAGAAAAAGCAACGTCAACAACAAATACTTTAACAACAACAACAACAACCAGTAGAAGAGCAGCAGTAGCAGAGGATCAAGGCAGCTGAGCAGCTTGACTTGAAATGAGATGCAAACTCGACGTCGACATCAACAAACGGACCAGCAGGAATTCAGCAGCAATTATAGTGCCCCGCAATTGCCACTGCAGCAGTCACTGCAACAGCCACAGCAACAGCAGCAGACGTTGATCCAACCGCGGCAAACCCAATTATTGTACGTAGCTCAGCAGCCCACGTTCGAGGCTGCTATTAATATTGGCGACGCGCAATCCAGTGCAGAGGCAGACGACAAATACGATAAGGCAGCCCGCCAGTGGAATTTGTTCAGTGGCATCTCGTCGCGCTCCGGCCAGGCGCTGCGCACGTACATACAGCAACCACTGAGCGCCGCTGCGGCTGTTGTTACCGGAAATCATCCAAACCAAACACAAATCTCCGACAATAATAACAGCAGCTACGATAAAAGTCTCTATAATTTTGGAGCGCCCCAAACACAGGTAGAGCCTGACGAGTTTGACTTGGCAGCGGAGCAGGAAGTGTTTATAATGGCAGCACGAGATCGTACGGGCGAGTTCGCCAATGCAATACGTTCGCTACAGTCACGGAACATCTCAAGAGCGGTTAATATACGGGATCCACGCAAGGCCAAACAAGTGCAGAGCTATTCCGAGTTCATGATGGTGGCCCGTTTCATAGGCAAGAATATTGCCAGCACATATGCCAAACTGGAGAAGCTGACCATGCGTACGTCAATCCCTCATAATATCAAATTCCATATAACGCTCACATATTTCCCATTAAATTGCAGTGGCCAAAAAGAAGAGTCTGTTTGATGACAGACCGCAGGAGATACAGGAGCTGACGTACATCATCAAAGGTGATTTGAATGCCTTGAATCAACAGATCGCCAAACTACAGGACATTTCCAAGGATCAGCGACGCACCACAAACGGCAAGCATCTGGTATCACATTCCTCGAACATGGTGCTCGCCCTGCAATCCAAGTTGGCCAGCATGAGCACAGACTTCAAGCAGATCCTTGAAGTACGCACTGAAAATCTCAAGCACCAGAAGACGCGACGCGATCATTTTAGCCAGGGACCAGGACCGCTGGCCGCACACACCGTTTCGCCTTCGACTGCCAAACAGGGCTCCCTGCTGCTTAGCGAGGAGAACCAAGCAGTTAGCATAGATATGGGCGGCAGCGATACGACGCCGCTGCTGGGACCGCCGGCGCGCCTGCAGCAACAGCAACAGCTGGCCATTTACGACGAGTCCGACACGTATGTGCAACAGCGTGCCGAGACCATGCAAAACATTGAGTCCACAATTGTGGAACTGGGTGGAATATTCCAACAGCTGGCGCATATGGTTAAAGAGCAGGAGGAGATTGTTGAACGCATCGATACGAATGTGGCGGACGCGGAATTAAATATTGAGGCAGCGCATGGCGAGATACTCAAATACTTTCAATCCGTTTCAAAGAATCGTTGGCTCATGATTAAGATATTCGGTGTTTTAATATTTTTCTTCCTGTTCTTTGTTGTTTTTATGTCATAATTAATGCTAAATACCCCAAACCCTGCCCCGCTCGATTCAATTCTAAATTATTGTGAATACATGGCATATACACATTATATATATAAATATATTTTTATGGAAATGGAGTTTAAAATGTACAAAAGCAAACATTGCATTCTTGATTCCAATCCAAAACCGAACCGACTAAAGATTGTAAAATAAAGTTATCAAGAAACGTACGAATCTGATGTTGTTTCCATGTTGAACTTGAAGAATTATATCTATCTTGTAGGCTGGAAGGCTGATAAGAACACGTTCTAATCTTTACGATGCAAAGTGTTGGGGCCCGTGTGCTACTTCATAGATATGTAGTTACAAATTGGACTAGTCTGCTCCAACACTCAGTCGAAAATGCCGCTGTCTCTCAAGCTATGCAAAAATATAAATGAATATGATTTTTAAGTATTTGGATTTTGTCCTGTTTTACTTTATTCCTTTTATTCTTAGGCTTCAACTACCAAATGCAAAACTAATAAAAATAATAATAAAAAACCTTTACAAATCTCCAACAGTACATAACCCAGACGCATGCCAAAGATGTTATTGTTATGGATCGCATTATGAATAAACTCGCAAATTTTTACACATGAAACATTGTTCGCTCCCAAATGGAGTTGTATGTGTGTGTGTGTATGTGTGTGTGGGCCATACACAATGACAACTTTTATATGATGATGTAGATGTAGATGCGCCGGTGCCAACAATGAGATCCCCTGCCATCTGTCTTTTATGCCCTCTATGTAGAGATGAGCGAATAAACCATGCTAAAATTAGCAGAAAAGCAAAACAAAACATAGAGTTAGACGAGTACAGAATGATTAATAAGCATTATTACCCGTATATATAGTAGAAGAAGCTGATTAAGTAGACGGCCAATTTGATCCAACCTTCGCGCAGATTGCGAGATAAGGTATCCGTCTTCAATACGGTGGTGGGGTCATACAAGCCCGGACCAGACATAAGAGGCCGATTCTTGTAACTGCAAGCAATGAATAAAACATATTATAAAATCATAATTTGATTGATACAACAACTTACCGCCATATGTGATAGGCTATGAGAGGTATATTGAGGCACAGTGAATACCATTCGCCGCAGAATAGGAAAAGCAAATTGAGGAATAGGTGCAGCAAATATTCTGGTAAGACGAGCTGTAAAAACGATTAGTCATTGCATTAGTAATGTACAATCTGATATAATCAAGGTGCTTACCGGGTTGAGACTGTTGCACTGATCGATTGGATTTTTATAATCTGTTTTTAGCTCATCGAATGCAATCACATGAAATATTGCGAAAAATATTAAAAATGCATCGCCGATGAGCGCTACAATATACGTGAATGCGGTGAAATTAAAGGCCATTGTTTGAAGCGCGCGTCACTCGAATACTGCTGGCTGATATTTGAAGCTGTGGAAATTAATTGGCTGTTTATTTTAATTAAAATTAGTTTGAACTACGCACTTGTCCTGCTACATGAGTGTATGAGTCGTGTAGAATGATGATGACAGCTGCGGCTGTCGTTTGTCTGTTAGCTTAAAATGTTGGCTGAGTGTTATTAACAGCTTGTTTCAGTGTTTCCCTATTCCTTTTTAGTTGTTCAGTTTCTTATTGCATATTGGTTTAAAAAACGATGTATGAGAAAAGACGGCTTTATGATGAATCGATTTTTTTCCGCTACTTGACGTATATTTGTAATTAACATATGATAACATAATAGTAATTAACCACAAAAGTGGAACAATAGATTCTGGATGTGGAAGCAGCCCAGGGCTGCAAGGCTTTTAACATAATAATCGCTTATGAATTCCGATAATGCGATTTTCGAACAATATTAAAGTTACAGACCAATTTTGTTAGGCTTGGCGTATTTTATAATTTTTTAAATTATGTTAGTCATTGCTTTACACGGTCAAAGATTAATACTTTTGATCGATTGTATGGTAAGGCCGTTCAAAGCATCCTAGTGTGGACTGTGCAGCCCTGGTAGCATTTGTCGCGGGATTTTCATATCTATGTATTTCCAAACCGCCATTGCAATTTTTACAGTAACGAAGAAACAACTGGATGAAAAGAGAAAAAGCATTTAGAATCGATTAAAGATTTTTGTGATAGATAAATACAAAAATAAACTAAACAAGTCGAGACTGTAATTTGTATGTAAAAATGTCTCAGTTCAATTTTGTGAGCGACTTACAAAATGCATTGATCATGGACGGCGAGACGCGTGGTCCTGCGCCGCGCTGGAAGAAGAAGCTGGAGGCGTCCCTTAATGGCAGCGTAAATACGACGCGCTCCGTGCTATCCGTTTCATACAATACCAGCTTTTCGGGAGTTCAAGCGCCAACCAAGACGCCTGGCAAAAGCGGCGACGCGAAAGCTAAAAAGTCGACGACAACGCCAAGCAAGACGCCTGGCGGCGGGGATCGCTTTATACCGAATCGTGCTGCCACCAACTTTGAGTTGGCACATTTTTTGGTAACCAATGCAGCTTGGTAAATGGAAATAGAATGTAAATGCGAATTAATTAACAGGTTAATAAGGAGACGGGCGACAAATCCGACGAGGAGAACGACCAACTGCCGACGAGCAGCAACAGCAATGAAAATAATGTGCAGGCATCTGCACATAAGGGCGAACGCCAGAAACTCATCGCCGAAGTGGCCCAGGTGGGCGAGAGCAGCAAAAGCGGACGCATTTTGTGCTATCAAAATAAGGCTCCCGCAGCACCCGAATCCCATACGAATCCAC